CCTGCCGTGCAGGAGGAGCGGCGGCCGCTCTTTGCGTCCAGTTTGCAAAATCTTGCCGTCTTTTAAACTCTAGTACTGTTTCTAGTTCCTGACTGTGGACAACCCGGGTGCCACTTTTTTCAGATTCCAGTGTGACGCGAGGAATTCGCTTTGGAAGATGAGCAGGTATCACTCTCTCTAAGCAGTTAGATGCTGTTCACACTTTGTTACCAAGCATCTTGGTCTATCATTCAACAAGTACTGTATCTCACTCTCAGCTCTTTGGGAAGGAAAAACAAATGACAACTAAGTTGCTTTCTTTTTTTTTTTCAACACTGTAACTACATCTCAGCCCTGCAGAGTTGCTCAGGAGCGAGCTATGGAAAGTTTCCATGTGGTTTAAAGGGATGAATGTGAATATTGAACTAGTATGTGACAATAGGCGACAACCAAGTGCTCCCTGACAGGAGGCATTTTTTACTTTGACGTCTGAGCAAGAGTTAAAGGCGTATGCAGAGTTGGCAGAGAAACTGAGAGAAAAGGGATGGAGAAAAGCATACTCATTTTTTGTCCAGTGTTTTTCTTTTTAAGATGAACTTTTAAAGAACCTTGCGATTTGCACATCTTGAGTTTATAATTTGTGTGATATTCCTGCAGTTTTTATCCAATAACATTGTGGGAAAGGTTTGGGGGACTGAACGAGCATAAATAAATGTAGCAAAATTACTTTCTAACCTGCCTAAACGCTAGGCCATTTTATAAGGTTATGTTCCTTTCAAAATTCATTTTGGTCTTTCTACTACATCTGTCACAAAAAGCCAGGTCTTAGCAGGACAACTCTGAGAATTTGCTTCAGATTCATTGAGAGAGTATTCTGTAAAGACATTTATATATGTGAGCAAGTTTTTTTTTTAATTACTTCACTATTGTTATTAATGTTATTTTCAGAATGACTTTTTTTTTTTTTTCCTGTTTGAATCAAATCAAGATTTAATGTTTGGTACAAACCCAGAAAGGGTATTTCATAGTTAAACCTTTCATTCCCAGAGATCTGAAATATCGTTTGTGAGTTTTGCATGCATCTTCAAGTGCTTTAAGAAAAAAACAAAAAAAGTTTTATAAGTTGAGAGAAATTTTTAAATATTCTTACTTGGCTGGCTGCAACTAACCTAAACAAATACGTCACTGGTTATTTTCTTTTCCTCTTGAAAACAGTACTTCTTCCATTTCACAAATTAAAAAAAAAAAAAAATCTAGTCCTAATGCACCTCTTGGTTGTCTAGCATTCTTTTACGTTTCTCTCTCACCAGGACTAATGATTTTTATAAACCGTTTTCTGGGGTGTACCAACAACATTTGGATAGGTTTAGAATAGCTAGACTTGTTTCTTGACGTTCTTCGGATTTCATTACCCTCTCGGCATGCCGCCGCAGGGCGGGGTGGCCCGTCCCGGTGGCCCGTCCCGGTGGCCATGCTACCTCGTCAGTGCTGTATTCTGTCAATGTCTCTGTTCCGAGAACTTGCTTAATCTTCCGTATCTTCTGCTCAGGGCACTTGCAATGGTTAGGTTTTCTTTTTCTTTTTCACCTTTGATGGTAAGAGGAATCCGGGGCGGTCACAGAGACTTTGTTGCCATCCATCCGTACCCCTCCTCACAGCGATCATGTGATCAACAACACAGAGCACTTGGGCCTACTTCAGGTATTCGACTGACCGGATCCACTCAGCCAACACTAAAACGGGCAAACACACATGGTTTGGAGCAATAGGAACATCCTCATCGTTTTTATGGTTCTATTTCAGGTATAGGAATGATAAACTAATAGGTTCTTTCTAAACATTCGTCCCATTTCACTCTTGCTTCGTAGCATGGGCAATACTTTCCGTGCCAATAGTGTCTGCCCCGTGTGCTGTAGGTGAAGCCCACTCCTTTCGGTTTTCTCCTTGTGAGCTCGGTCTTCCCTGATCTGGCCAGAGAAGGGCTGGAGGGAAGGTGCCAGGAGAGCAGAGCCGCCCACCTCTCCCCTGCTCTGGGTCCAAGGGCCAGGGCGGGAGCCTTCCCAAGCCCAGGTGTCGCCTCATCACAGCTTTAGCCAGCCTGGAGGCGGAGGGGACCGAGGGGAAGATCGTGCGTGGCCCCCTGTCAGCACACGGAATAGTGAATGGGAGAGTGGAGAGGAAGGAGGCAGGTTGGGGTTGAGACGCATTCTGGAGCCGGGTGGCCTGGACTCAGCCCTCTGCTCGCGGTCTTTTCTGCCAGTGGACGCAGACCTCGGGGCCGTGTCCTCGGGTCCCTGAGCCCTACCTGCACATGCAAGCAGCAAGCGTGACCCGTGTGCGTGCGCCTTCTGAGCGTGCTGGCCCGTGGCTGCAGAGGGGCCACTCACCACTGTTGGCCACCACTCCCGTGTGGCAGCTTGCTCTTCAAATAGGAAGAACGCCCCGAGCAGGAGCCTCTTGTGTGCAGACGTGGGCGAGCCCGGGGCCTCCAGAGCAGCCTTTGTCACGGCGTCCATGCAGCAGATGTAACGAGGACAGGGGTAGGACCTCTTGGGTGCCATTCAGCTTACGAGGATCAGCCATGTGCCTCTGTACTGTGTCCACTTTGCAATATTTCCCGACAGCTGTCTCTCCCCCTACTTTCTTTCCTGTTTTCCATTTTAAAACGAATAACAGCAGGCCTTTTTTGCGTTTACAATGGAACACAATCACCAAGAAATTATTCAGGGTGAAAAAAAAAAAAAAAAAAAACTTCTACTATTAATAAGAAACCAACAAATAAGAACCTCTTTATAGGGATTTCTAACTAGTCAATGACTGTTCCTTAGCATGTTAACTCGAGAATGAGTTCAGTCTGTCTGGGCCACGCTGGGGGCGGGGGGCGGGGGGCGGATTCAGAGACGGATGCCACTTACCTCAGATCTTTTCAAGTGGAAATCCAAATTCGCATTTTCATCTGGACTTTCCGGATCATTTTTCTATGTCAGTCAATTTTGCGTTCCCCCCCTCCCCCCGTGGCTCACCCAGGTGGGTTCGGGACGATTCGATGTTGTTGGTGTGGTTCGACCCCATTTCTGACCCTAAATGTGCCCCTCTGTGTCTTGTGAGGTGAGCGAGTTGGGTCCCCCCACCAGGAAGTGCAGCATCCCTCCTTCTCCCCTCCACGGAACTCTGCGGAACTTTCACACCTCTTACACTCAGGGACGGGGCTGGTGTGTGTGTGGTACACGGATGTGTCCAGAAGCAGCACTTTGAGTGCTCTGGAGTAGGGTTGTACAATGTCAAGGAACGTTTGGATTTCCTGCATCTCGTGGACGACCCCTTCGATACTGCGTAGACAACGCCACGCTGCGTGTTCCACGGAACAGTAGCTCCTATAATCCTATGTCCACTCTTTGCACATTCTTTGACCTTTACTGAAATGTTGCCAAAATTTTTGTTGTTGTCACTTTGATTTTTTTGTTTTGTTTTGTTTTTAAGGAAACAATTGACAATACTCTTCACCATCTGTGACTACTAAGGAGACCTATTTCTTTCCTAGAGAGAACAATCTCCAATACTTTTGAAGACACTAATGCCATGCTGTTTCAGATGTGGGTGAAGGAAGCAGAGTTCTTGGGACAGAAGGCCGGGCTTTTTGAGCTGTGGTGGTTGTCACGGTTGCCGTGTGACAAACCACAAGCACCTCAACAAACTGGCCCGTTCTCTCCTGAAATACTCTGCACTTCCAATTTCCTTGTCGCCCTCAATGATTCCAGGTGAAGGCAGGGCCAGCCGCGTCCGTGGCCCGATGCAGTTTCTTCGGTGGTGATGTGAAAAGAAAGAGAAGTACAATTTCTGTTTTTTTTAAGTGGGCATGGAGGCCTTTGCTTCCACCTTTGTGTTTTTAACCCAGAATTTCTGAAATAGAGAACTTCAGAACACAGCAAGTAATAAACACACAGAGAATATACTTTTTTATGAAGCACATGCATATGCTATTGTGTTGGGTTGGTTATCTCTCACGGACAGTGTGTGTCTCTGTTCATAGGGAACTCCAAACAACTTGTGCACCTCTACTCTGGAGCTGACGTTTCTTTTACATAGATGACCTCGCTTGAAATATGTTACTTTACTGATAGGATCTTTTCTCGTAGCACTAGACCTTGTGGGATTTTTTTTTTTTCCTTCAAATGTACACCTAATTTGAGAAGCTGAAGAAAAACCTTTTTTGTTTTGAAGCACTCACTTTGAGGAGTACTGTTTTAAAAAAAAAAATTGCACAAAAGAAAAATGAATGTCGAAATGATTCATTCAGTGTTTGAAAGATATGGATCTGTTGAAACCGTGAGTTTCATACTTTGTTTGTAGTAAGAACAAAAAGCGGAGAAGGTTGAAAGTTACATGTCTTTTTGTACATAGCGATTTGTCATGTCTTGATGATCAGACCTGTATGGTTATGGCCTGGGAAAATGGCTGAATACAAGACTCTTAAACTGTACCACGCTTTTCTGTTGTTTGTTACACGTAGCCCTCACGGAGGGAGGGGAACGCCGTTTTCTGCTCTTTGGGAGTACTGTGCATTCTCGTGCTGAAAGTGTTTCTCTGAGCTCCCGTTTCAGTCTGAACTCTTAAGCCATTTCAGCTTCTTTTTCTTCAGAGAGGATGTTTGACATTTTCAGCACTTCCTGTTCCTCTAAACCCAAAGAATATAATCCTGAACACGAAGTGTTTTGTCACAAGGGATCCTAGCCACCATGAAAACAGGACTCATGACGGGGACAAAAAAAAAAATCGTGTCGCCTTCTTCCCCCCGACACCTCACTTACCTGGGGGGAAAAAACCTGAATCTCCATTTCAATGCCTCACGTTTCTTTCTTTCTTTTTTTTTTTTTTAATTTTGATTCTTTAATATTCAGAGGCCAAAATAAATGTGGGGCACCTTCTAAGAAGAGTCATAGTCCTGTCCCCAAATCCAGCTGGACAGCGGAACCCGGACAGCTGT